GTACTTATAATAGTACTTATCATAGTACTGCATAGTGCTTATCATAGTGCTTATCATAGTACCCATCATAGTGCTTATCATAGTGCTTATCATAGTACTTATAATAGTACTTATCATAGTACCTATCATAGTGCTTATCATTCTGAATCTGTTTCCCAGTCGGTCTTTACTTCTGGGCTCTGAGCGTCAAGAAAGCAGGATTATGTTTTACTCAGTTATGTTTTATTCAGGCAATTTCTTATTTTGCTGATTCTATATTTTTAATAATATTTTCCCCATTGTTCATGGTTTTAAATTCTCTGCATGTGATAATAAAATATCCTGTACCAATCTTTAAATTTTCATACCAAAACTACCACTTTGATATTTTTCAAATTATAAGTATGCTGACAAATTATTCTTTAGAGTTATTAGTTATTTAAAAAGCATTTTACAGTAACTTCTACTTATTTTAATTTTATGCCATCTCCTAGAAGTTCTTTCTTCTTTTTGGCATTTCACATTTGCCTTTTTTCCCATGATCACATATGATTTTTCAGGTAAAACTATCAGAACCGAAAACAGAGATCACTTTAGAGCAAAAGGATGTATTTATATGGTAGGCAGCCTCAAAGATGGCCCTAGTGATCCCCACCTACTGGCACTCGTGCCTCTGTGTAATCTCCCCTTGAGTGGGAGCTGGACCTAGTGACTCACTTCTAATGAACACAGTACTGTGGAAGTGATGGGATGTCACTTCTGAGATGAGGATATAAAAAGACTGTAGGTTTCCTCTTGGGCACTTGCTTTTTTTCACTCTCTCTCAGATTGCTGGCTCTGGGGGAAGCCAGCTGCACATACTGAGGCAACCCTGTGAAGGGGCCCACATGACAAGGCTTGTCAACAACTACACGCGTGATCTTGGAAATGATCCTGCCCCAGTAAAGTCTTCAGATGAGAGAGCAGCCCCAACTGACAACTCAGCTACAACCCCAAGAGAGACCTGAGCCAGAGACATCCAGCTAAGTTGCATCTGGATCCCCGAACCACAGAAACTATAAGATAATATAAAATATAAGATGACATATTCATTGCTTTAAGCTGCTACACATTGAGGTAATTTGTTATGCAGCAAAATATAACTAATACGACTTATACCTTCACTTTGGGGATGGAACTGACACTTCCGGATGGACATTTTTTTAAAAAAATATTATTTTATTATTAGTTTCAAGTATACAGTACATTGGTTAGACATTTATATAGTTTATGAAATGATCCCCCTGATGACTCTATCACCCCTCTGGCTCTACACATAGCCATTACATTACTGCTGAATGAATTCTCTACACTGTGCTCCCCATCCCTGTGACCATCTACCAACTACTAATTTGTACTCCTTTAACCCTTCACCATTTTCTCACAGCCTCTCCTCTGACCATCACCAGATTGTCTTCTATATTTATGAGTCTGTTTTTGATTAGTTTCTTCTTTTTGTTCCTTAGAAAAATAAATAAATAACCTAGTGGGAGGGTTAAGAGGAGGCCCTTAAAAAAATCAGAATAGAGACAGGTTACCCTTCTTTCTTTCCACCACTCCAAAACCATCTCCTGCAGGAAGCAGAGCCCGAGGGCCCAGGTGGTCACTGGCCAGGCTTTCCTCTGCCACGGCGGTCAACTGATGGGCCTCCCATGGACATGGGCTGGAGAAGTGCTGGGCCCCCAGGAAGGGACAAAAACAGAGGTTGATCTCAGAAGCCTGAGACCACCTGACAGGACTAGAGGTCTGAGCTTGAGACCTTGTGTTTCTGTAAGTGGGAGCCCCTATAAGTTTGGGAGGAGTGTGGGGGACATGAATTCTTAGCATCCACATCAGAGACGTTGTTGAGCCTGTCTCAAGTTTTCCACACATTAATAAAGAAGAAAATTAGACCCACACTGGACATGGTTAAGACTGAACCCTGAGCCAAGGACATTTTTTTTTAAGGATGTTTCTACTTTATTTTCAGATCTCACTATTACAAGTATTGGGTTCCGCAAGGTCATAGTTAAAACACCTTGTTGTGGGATATCAACTTATATACACATAAGGGCTATATCAAAAACCCCCATTTGGGGCCCTCTGTTATTAAATTAAAATTTATAAGAGCGTATTAAGTATAAAACTTAAAAAAACGAAATGATAAAAAGTTAAGATAGTTAAGTACTTATTAAGTATATCTATTGCCTTTATTATAAACAATATACAATTAAGAAGTCAACTATTTTTGAGTCTGTAAGTCAGATGCTATCAAGCAAACTGCCATGTATGATCCATAATCCTTTGAAATTTTTAACTCAAAGACAAATAGGAAGCTCCAGTAAATTTTAATTTTCCAGATGTTCTCAAAAGGAATTATCAGAAGCATCCTCCAGTTATAAAACACAGTTGGATAATCCATTTACCCCAAACAAACTATCTGTGTGTGTTGTGAGGTAGCAATGAAAGACTTTATGATCTTTTATGGATTCTTAGCTCAGGGAGCAAAACAAGAGCTTAGGAAGGTCTGGCCTCATGCAAACCTCCTGAGGGCGCTAAGCTCCACCATGGTGAAGATTTAATCGCCTAAAATTTGCCTAATTATACATATCAACTTGACTAAATTATGGTGACCAGTTGTTTAGTCAAATGCTAGTCTAGATGTTGTCATAAATGTATTTTGTAGATGTGATTAACATTTGCAATCAGTGGACTTTAAGGAGATTTTCCTCCATGAGGTGGGTGGGCCTCATCCAATCAGTTGAAGGCCTTAAGAGGAAAGACTGAGGTTTACTAAAGAAGGAATTCTGTCTCCAGATGATAACACAGAAATTCTGCCTGAGTTTCCAGCCTTCGCACTCAAGCCTGCAGCATCAATTCTTACCTGAATTTTCCTTTTTGGACTTGGCAGCCTCCATAATCACCTGAGCCAATTCTTTAAAATCAATCAATCTTAATCCTTCTCTCTCTCTCTCTCTTTCTATACATACACATACGCACACACACATACATACATATAGTTTCTCTGGAGAACCTTGACTAATACATTCTTTACCTTGAATGGTCCCCTATCTCTTCTACCTGTCCAGTCCAGCTCACCTTTCAAGACCTGGTTCATGTCTGCTCCAGGAAGCTTTCCTGTATACTTCAATAACCATATATTCGCATCCTATTCCACTCCTGAGGAATTTAATGCTGTTTTGGGACATCTTTTGGATTCCTGATGTGAAATCTAACCACCGTAGCTGTTAACTCACTAGGGAGACAGACAGAGTCTTGTATTTTGTAATCCCACTGGCACACAGTAATGCCTGGCACACACTAGGTGTGCATTAATGTTTGATTCTTGACTGGCTGGCCATTTGTTATGATCGGCCTGTTAAGTTTACTGAAGTCCCAGGGAGAAGGCACTGTATCAAGGGCTGAGGACCCTGCTCAGGACACACATCTGCCCGGGAGATCCCAGGAGGCTTTCATATAAGACATAAAGAAGAGGCCTCTACAGAGGAAGACAGACTGACCCCCACGATTTCATGGGAGAAGGTCTGCCCCAGATAATCTGGCCCTGAGTGTAGGCAGCGTCCACCTCTGACCAAACTTCCCCGTGCACGGCCTTACACACGGGGTCAGTGTGTAGTGGGAGAGGCAACCCAACGGGCGAGGAGCTGGTACCACCTGAAGGGCACCAGAAGAGTGGAAGAGGACCAAGAAAGCAGGAAGAGTCACAAAGTAGAGTCAAACTTGCCTCTCTCTGACCTGCTGCTAGTTCTATCCACAGTGTGCCCTGACTTCTGTGCTTGTGTTTCTGTAATTAGATCCATGGTAAGGCTTTCATTAGAACCTCTGTCTGAGGCCCAGCTTCTCAGGATTCTCATTTTAAAAGTCAATATACTTGCTTCTTGTTCCAGAGTATCTCTCATCTGTACTGTGAAATGCCCAAGAGTAACAGAGCTCCCTAAGTCACAAGCCCACAAGAGACTCCAGGGCTACCAACTCATCACTTACCACCAGCCAGCCAGTCCTCAAGAAGAGGACAACCCCAAAAATGTTGATCATGCAGGATGTGAACACACCATCCCAGGTCCCAAAGAGCACTGGCTCCCATACAAACAGCTGCATCTTCCACCATGGCTGGGGCTGGGCTAAGGCCTCCTGAAAACAGAGCACATAGACGTCAGCTCAACAGCACTTGGAGGGCCAGCAAGGGGAAGGGAGAGGAAGTAGAACAGGAGGAGGTAGGAGAACTCAGCTTTAAAATACTCCCATCTTATGCCCACGAGGCAGCCTTGTGTATACACACAGAGTCTTGAAGACTGAGTGTGCAAAAGTTGTTCTTCTCTCCTAACAGCAGTGATTCCTATGCCTGTATGTATCAGAGACTAGTTGTTCAGCAAACACGTTCCCTTTCCTTCTGGCCACTTGGTAGACTGCAAAATGCAGTCTCTTTGCAAGTAGGTATTTGCTGGTGACTGAGTTCTGGCACCTGTAGATGGAACTGCTATTGCCACTTCTAGGTGAGTGTGGGATTCTGGGTTGCAGCTAAGGCAGTGGTCATGAGTGGTGGGTAATGCCCTTGTGCCTTTCAGCCCTCCAGCCCTAGAGGGGACAGCAGCTTCCAGCAGTTCCTAATCTTTGGGTAAACTTACTTTACATTTTTTGCTCCTCTAGCCCTTCTAACGCTTCTGTAATGAATTCTGCATAGTAAATTCTCTGTTTAAAATACCTGGAGTGGTGTCTGTTTTCCTGACTGAACTCCAGCTGACACAGTGATCTCTAAGCCCTCTTCTAAGATCTTAAGGCATTATTCAGCAGTTGTGTAGAACCGGAGGCTAATAAGCAATTAAACAGATACCTTTCTCATTTTTCCAATTTAAAAATAACAGAAACAGAATACTCAAATGGAAACTCTACTAAAAAGACTAAACCTTGTGGAAATACTAAAATGATCTTAAACAAAACCGGGAGCAACTCATACCGCGAACTGCTCTCGTATAGGTTTAGTAACTAATCTAAATCTGTAGTGTCTTCCAATGTTGTCACGCGATCATAGCAGCGATCAATGATTCTCACCTGGGTAACCACCAAGAGCCACTATGAACCACTGTGTGCAATGTGTCTAACTGGTGTGTGTATGCAATCTATAAACATAAGGAAAGGGCAGAAAAAACAAGAGTACGGGGGGCGGAGGGCGGGAATCTAAGGTCAGAGTCACAGAGTCATGGGTTCTGAGTGACTGAGAAAAATGGACACGCCAACGATGCAGGACCAAAGGTTGAGGCCAACGACACTTGTTCGGCACAAAAGGAGAGGGTCCCAGTTCCTCTTTCGCTCTGGTAGCATACACTCGCAGATCAAGAAGTCATCGAGGACGTCACGGAAGCCATAAGAGACAGATGGGCTGGAGGACTCCTTGGTGTGCCCCGTCAGTTCCTGACTCTATCTAGAACTCTTTTTATCTGTGTATATTTCTGTTCACCTGTCTTTCATGAATGAAGAATCTCCTGATAAGTGTGAGAACAGTGATCGTGGCTCAGAGCGAGTCCTCAGTGGCTCAGACCCAGCCAACTTATGCTTGTCCTTGAACAAATGGTACCATAAGACCTATCTGCAGAATGTAGGATTGTTTTCTGGGACCCTAATCTCAAAATTCAGGACATGACCCACCTTCCGATCTCTGCTTGTGTCCAGCTTCCTACTATGGCTTGTTACCTATATTATTCACTGGAAACAGTAATAACCACAGCAGCTATCAGCCACAATAGTAGTAATTTAGAGTGCTTTTGGCTTCCACATCAATTCCCTCTGATCCTCACGACACCCCTGGGAAGCAGGCGGGGAGGAGGGCCCAGTTTATAGCTGAGGAAAGAGCCTGGGAGGAGATGCCACTTGCCCACACCCACGGCTGGGGTTCGAACCCCCTGCTTCCGACTGTAAAATCTGGACTTTGCCCTGCACCACACGTTGCTTGCCCTCTTCTCTCCTGAATTTCAATCTTTCAGGTTGCAGTTTCTAACATCCTGGACTTGACTTAACTGTGACTACATCTGCCTTACCTGTAAAACTCCCATTGTGATTTTAGAAACTTTTTCCCATCTCAGCCTTCATATTTCCACTCTGAAGGCTGTTTTGCCTACGTGTTTGTTCACCTAATGACATATGAAAGGCATTTCACTCCCTGGATTTCACTGGACTAAATCAGTCTGAAAGGTGCCTCCATCCTTAGGTGCTTTCCAAGTCACCTCATTAACATAAACCCAGTTGTGGCTGAAAAGTGTTTGTTATGAATATCAAGATACCTTTATCACTCTTATCACTTAGAAAATTCCAAGGGTTTTAGGAGCTCTGTGCCAGGAATGAGGGTGAAAACCAAAATCTATCTCCTATTATAAATCACAGTATCACAGCTGGCTACTCCACAGCCGCGCTCTGCCCTGCCCGCTCTCCAAGTCCCTTCAGCTCTTGCTCAGCTAGGCTGAGGGCAGTTATGGGGTCTGCAGCATAAGCAGATATCCAACAGGAGGACAGAATATCAGCTTCTCCCCGACACGGGGGCCTCATCTCCAACTCCCTCCTCTGCCATGGTAAGAAACCCATTCCAGGTGGAATATGCCTCCTTCCAAAGGCCATGGTTCAGACTCTCCCTTTGAACTTCAACTCGGTCATTTCCATCACCCAGGGGTAGGGGGACAGCTGTTGGGCTGGTTCTGGGCTGTCTTGATTAGCCCCAGGGGAGAGGTCTGGTCCCAACTATTGATAATTCTCTCATCCTCATCATCCTCAGATGTGGGGCCTAGTCATCACTTTCAAGACAACAAGAGTCCTAGTCAACATTCTATGACATAGTGTAACAGGTTGTGGGAAAAGCAAGGTGGAAACAGGATGTGTGCTGTGCTGCTATGGAGTCTACTGGGATGCAGAGGAGGGGAATAAGTAAAGACAGAGGTGGAGACTAAGATAAAGGAGAGAGAGAAGCAAAGCAGTCCCTCCAAGTGGGCACCATAAACAGGCTCAAGGGTTAGGTTCCTGTCTTTCCTGAAGCCCCTCAGTGAGGTAGGGGCAAGCTTGGCAGGTTCTAGGCTCACAGTGACCCGGAGCCTGGGCCCAGGTGATCCCTCCTCCGTGCTGCTCGCTGCTGGGCTTTCCTTCCTGAGCTCCCAGGACAAGAAGCCAGGCCCTTGTCCCCCTGAGAGTAGGGCCTGCACCCCACACTGGAAACACCGCAGATGCCTGGTGGATGTCTTATTCAGAGGTAGAAGTCTCTTTCCTGTGAATAGAGAACCTCTACTCATGCACAGAGCATCTAAAAAGGCAGGGAAATTGCACCTGAAGTGTACTCAGAGGAGAAAACACTCTGCTTCCTGCAACCAGCAAGCTGAGCTGAGAAAGAGAAAAGTTCTACCACAGACAAGATGTGAGCTCACACGCCCAGGAGCCTTTTGTGTCCAACAGCCTCCTCCCGCAGGCCACCTGCCAGGCCTTAATAAACACATCAAAAATGCGAGATGACACCTTTGCTCTCTTCTGGCAGCTGGAGGAAAAGAGACCAGGTGAGAAATCTTGCTTCTGCCCACTCGGGTCAGGGATGGGTCAAAGACCAGCCTGCCTCTCCCTCCCAGACAATACACCTGCGGAGACTGATGCTGCCTGGAGCATACACACCGTGAGCCAGCAGTTTGTTTACTGAAAGCTAATTATTTAATTCTTAATTACACATTAATTACACATCAGAGAATATCCCAAGCTGCTGTTGAACTGGGATCCAGTGGGCAAAATGGGAACAGCATTCCTTTCCTCTGGCTCTGAACAGGTACCATGTGCTGGAGCTGGGCAGGGGGCCAGCACGTCCCCAGGCTCCATAGGCTAGAGCCCATCTGTGCTCACCTAATGAGATGCAGATAGGTACATACCTGCATGGGGGGCGGGGTTGTGTACAGTTTGTTTGTTTGTTTGTTTTCAATTGGAGGTCTTTTTTTTTTTTTTTTACACCTATCATGCCCTGAATTCCTAGGGAATGGGTTCCAGCAGCTCAGGCTTCTTCCCATTGGTTCTCACAAAGTGAGCTTCTCCAGGTGGAGCGGGCTGGTGCTTCAGTTGAACTCAGGTACCTTTCTCTTTGGCTTCCTTCTTTTTTTGATCATTTTTCTTCACGTGTTTCAAGAAGCTGTCTCGGCTCTGAGTGCTTAATATGCTCAATATGTACATTAATTCTCTTGGCAAAAATCTTGCCCTTAACTTGTGTGTTTACAACACTGCCAACTGCATGCTGGGGAACACTGTAGACTCTTCCAGTTCTGCCATGGTGACATCTGTGGGGCATTCCTTTTTGAACAGTGCCCATTCCCTTGATGTCTACAATATGACCTTTCTTGTAGATTTGTGTGTAAGTGTCCAAAAGAAGAACTTTGTGTTTTTCTAAAAGGCCTAGAGAATACA